TTATGATCTCTTCTTAATCTAAATCTATTGAAATTCACAAATCCTCCCTGCATTAATACATATAATTATTCCATCTTTGATAAGGGCATAATTACTATCTAATTTTTGAATATTATGTAATTGTCATTATTTAATGTTTAGATTAAGAACATTTTTATTTAAGTGCCATGTAGATTTTGATAAAACTTCTCTTAACTACGATAAGTAATTGAAAGTACATTAGTATAATTAATTATTACATCACAAAACAATTCAAAACTATAATATTGTAAAATCATTTAAGTTGATGTAATCTATCTAGACAATTAATCTATGTGGATTTTCCTTCATTTATTGTTAATATCGGTTAATAAAAACCTCAATTTTAATAACACAAAGATCTTAAAATTAAATTTGCCTAAAAGAAAATGTTGACATATATTTTCGACATTCTCTACGATTTATTTATTTAAAAATGGTAAACAAATATTAGCTGACTTCAATTGGTAATTCTCGAAGTTCTAGTGAGATGCCGTGACCAGTAGAGTTTAACCGTATCAGATGTGAAGCAGTTACCCACCGAAGACAATGGAAGATGGTTGCGCAAAATCATGGACTGATTGAAGTTAGACATTAACACCGTTGGATGCCTGCCCATTGATCTAGAGGTTATGAATTTGCACGAGACCGAAGGTCCTGGATTGAAACCCATGTTCGGGGTCGTGGATGTGCATTGCTGAGGAGTCTTATACTTAGATGAAACGGTCGTCCAGTGCTTCCAGGTTTTCAATGGTGGTCTAACGTCGGTTGGTTCATGATTTCAATGAAATTCAACAAGGCCCATAAGCTTAAAATTAAATTTACAGACTTTATTTTTGAAAATCGAATAAGAACAGTTCAAATATATTTTGTTTACATAGTTAACATCATTGATGAATGTTGAGTCACCAAGTGGTGTTTAAAACATGTCATATATAATACAAAACAAAAGATAGAAAATTGTCCACTCAGTTTTTCACACAAAGTTTGTAATTTTCTAGGGTAGGTGAAAAACGTTCATAGTCTCTTGTGTATGCTTTTCATTTGATGAATCGACACTTTACTAGTTAGGTTTTCAAAAGTTCACCATACTGAATTAGTTCAAATACAGACGGAACAATTACTGAATATTATCAGAAGGGGTTTCGTGGAGTCCCATACTAGGACGAAATAGCCGTTCAGTGTCACCAGGTTTTCCAAGGTGGTCTAGCTTCAATTGACTCATGGTTTCAACTATTGAAATTACTGAATAATATTTGGTTTCTAATGATTTTTTAAAAAACTGATATTAACATCTTAATAAAAGTGAGTTATAAACTGTAGAAAAATTTCAGTAAACCACTACATTGAATCAACAAACCAACCTTGATCTATCATACAAGTATTTTGTATTGAAAGGAAAGATTGGTTAATGAATTGGCTAATGAATTCAATTAGCCAATAATTTATATTTATATTTTTTTCATACATTTTATTTCTAATATCAAATAACCACCATTACTTAGGAAATACATATTTTTGAACAAACTCTGTCTGAAGCCCCTCTAGAGCTACTGCTGGTCCCAAGCCCGGATAAAGGAGGAGGGTTGAACATGGGGGTAGCGACCCCATCCCGTAAAAAAAAACGCTAGTCAGAAAAAAATTATTGAAACCAATTAAACTCTGCCCTGGGAGCCAGAAGGTCTTCATTTAGAAGAGTTATGACGTCTCACGATGAAAGCTGAGTTCCTTCGAAAGCCACGAGTCTGATACCCCTTCTGGCAAACAGAGTAACCATTTGTTTTTATTTATTTTTAAATAATAATTTACATATCTAAAGAGTTTTCATATTCCCGTACATGTCAGTAGATCATAATCATTATTGTAAATCTACTTGCTTTTACATTTAGAAACATTGAGCAGTTTATTACTATGTAAAGTCATTTCATATAATCCACTATTTAGTATAGAACATAATATTCAATTCTTTTTTCTTTTACCACAAAAGTTGAGTCTGTTAAAAATAAGAAAATAATCTTATTTCATTATACCTTAGAGTATCTTTTCATATTTTATAATAGTTAATTATAGGATCATCTCTAAGTGGACATTGTTCTACATACAATTAGTTGTCTACAAAATATACCTTTATTTAAATCAAGAATTAATATTTAAGAAAAAAAGTAGATGAACATACGCTGGCTAACATCATTGCTTTAATTTGAATATGACTAAGTTGTGCCTTGGGGTAACATAAGCCCATAAATCTATTTTTCAGATAATGTTGTTTTGTTTGGTGGCTAGTCGGATTTGCGTTTCATTCTATCTAGGAACTGTGAACTAGATCTGTATGGATTCAAGAGTTGATGTCCATATCGGCACTCCAATCCAGGTTCTTTTAACTCCAAACAACAACGCGTTATCCACCTAGCTACTGAGTTCAGATGGCTATTTACTTGTGGAATAGGATGAATTTTAATTCATCTACTTGAAATGCCTGTACAGTCCGCACGGGATACATATCTGTCAAAAGAGATTGATCAGCTGCAGTCTTACGTAAATATGAGAAGATTCAACCAACTAATACCTATTATTCAGATTACTTTCAAATTAAATTTTAAAAAGTTATTAAAAATAACTTATGTTTATGTATCTTTGACACATTAAACTTGTTCTATCTGCTATCCTTGTTAATGATATCCCATTGTACTAATACATTTCTGTCGAATTTGCAGAAGAATTAAGTCGAATAAAGCCATTGAGATGGAGTAGGATTTACCTAGACCAGATTTTAGATTCTGAGATATCTTATTGCTTTTAAATATCACACCTCTTGTAGGTGTTCTGTATTCAAAGTCGGATCATTCAGTTCATAAAAGCTAGTTTACATGGATTTATAGGGACACTAATTGGAACCCATTCTATATTATCTACAACTCATCAAACGAAAAACTCCAGTGATATGTCAACGACATGACAGTTGTGTTATAACATGGTGTTAATAGCCATGTCTTTGTAAGATTAATATTTTTCAGATTATCTATAAGTATATCAACTTGTCTTGGATCAATAATTTACGTGGTACGTCAATCATTTGATAATTATAAACTTATTGCTATTAAGTTATATCTATATCGAATGTCATTAAAAAACATTTACGTATGACCTTTATTGTTTTGAAAAAAATAAGAAAAGGCCTAATTCTGTCATGGTAACTAGGTCTAATTGCTGTCCATTTGGTATACATAACATTTTGGTTTTATTCTATTAATTTTTTTTCCAGTGTTTGTCACATAATTACGTCATTTACCACGGGTGAGCTTATACTCTGTATTTTGCTAAGTTAAAGTAAACATTAACCATGAAGTTTATCCCATTAATTTGATGTGTCTACATATTTAACTATTGAAAATAAATATTGCGTAAATTCGACTAAATTGATATATGGAGCAGAAATTTCATTGCTAGAGGGATAGAAGATGAACAAAAACAAAGAATTCTGATGAATGTTAATCTAATATAAAGTGAATGTTTAATAGGTTGACGTTTGATAACAGTTCATGATAGATTTACTTTTGCAATTATTTGATACAAATATCATCTAGAATAATAAATTGAATGACTAACAGAAACAATTATTCAAACATGTAGGTTCGAACTCTTATAGCTCCTGTTATACATACAAGAGGTGATCGAACATTGTTGAGGAAAGATACAGGCATACAAAAAACCCCCTGAAATGATTAGGCTTTATCTATCAAATGAATGCTATCCACCGAATGTGCCAGAACTGAACTATATACAATTTCCGTTTGATCCTTTCCAAACCACGCAGAGGGATGTTCGTTGGTTAAGTTGCCCATTTTCACATAAGCTGAGTTAGTAGTTAAACATCGAAGAGATAAACTCAGATAACTTATCCTCTTTTTGAGTTTACACCACTTTCCAACTAGAAAAAACGCAAATAAGATTGGCTGGGCACACTTTTCCTTTAATCAATCTAATTTATTATACAGCACATTGTTTGATACACTCGTTAAATTGCAAGTAGACGAAGACAAAATGAAGTTCCATATTGGTGCACCTGATAAACAGCGACCATATGATAGATGTAACCAAATCAGTTCAAGTGATCCATGGAATACCTCCGTCGCCCTTCTCATGGGGCTTTGCCCTTTATTTACATAATTAAGGAAAGTGAAACCATCGTAGTTGGTAGCAAAACTCCTAATCAGATCAGACCAATTAAACCAGGTTAGCATGATAGTGGTGACATCACAGTGATGAATTAACGCACAAGCCTCGGATACACGTTTGAATTAGCACACCAAGGTTTGTATGGAACTTGAAGAGCTGACGGTTGACAAAATACTAGTGCATTCACAGAGAACCGATATAGTATCTACTGAAATACTTCATTGCAATGTTAAAGAGATCTAGACTAGGGTGTCAAAACGTGTCAGTTATGTCTAGGTCATGACTTATTCGATTGAAAAATCATGTCCTCCAAATATATTGGTCGTCCGTGCTTTATCAGTAAAGTAGGTGACCTCAGTTCTATCGCAAACGTCTAAACAGTGCTATGGAAAGAAAGCTCATAATAAGCGTTATTGTTGTCTGACTCGAAAAGAGTGAGTAATCGGACCTATATCAATGGTAGCCGCTTGGACTTGTTGCACAGACCATTTTTATGGGAAAGGTACTTGAATCAAGACCAAACAAACGAATATTAGAAAAACTGTAACGTCAACTTGTTTATCTGAACAGAACAAGTTACCCGACTGTGGTCTCTAAGTTGAAAAAAATCCACGATAAGATGCCTGCGATGGCACAGATAAATTTATCTCTTTCGTAAAGCTTTACAAGTTTTTTATACTCTCTTGTCTACTCGTAAACTTTAATGTAGTGTTTTCTAGAATTGAACTAAATCACCTTTTTTTATCATAAAGCTTTGTTGCTTTGATTTATCCTCGTCACTATAACTCTTAGAAAATAAATTATTAAAGAAGTAACTAGTGTCGATTCCAACCACCATAAATATAACAGCTTACTTTGAAAATCTTTAATTCAGTTTGCTAATTCGCTTACAAAAAACGAATTTAGAAATTTCTAATCAGTTTTTTAAAAACATCGAAAATGATAAAGCAAATAAACTGTTTTTTAAAGGTCACAACATTACTGACGAACAAAACACTAAAGCAAAATGGATTCAACAAAACAAATAATTAGTGAGGAAAACAACTAGAAAAGAAGAGAAAATCAAGAGAAAACCTTCCTAACATACACAGAAAGTAAATTGTGTACGGTAGGAGAAAAAAACAATGCAACAACACATGAGGATGAGCATATAGTGAAAGAATGAGGAAGGACCACTTTAATGTGCTCCCTGTTTTTAAATTAATTCAAGTAAACGACAAGAGAAAAAAAACAAGTAATGAAAGCAACAAATACACAAAATAATTTATGTGAATATACTTTTTAAAACACAACTAACTAATTGAATATTGTTATAGTGTTCTTACTTTGTACAGTAAACTTTCAATTTTCATGTGTGATATACAGATATTTAATGAGTAAAAACTGTGTCCACTTCAAAGATTTGCATAGAATACTGACTGATAGAATACGTGAAGGAACATGAACAGGGAAAGACATTGAAGAGTGAACGAGTATATATCGGAAAGTGAAATGCATTTTATTTTCAAGGATGCACTCGAACGTGAGCGCATCAATATAATATATATATATCGACTGGGACAAAGACGTCATTCGACGCAGAGAATATACAAAAAAGGCTCATAATGAAAGTATTGAAATATGAGTTGGACTGTTTGTACGTACACACTCACATACACAGTTGTATACGAAGATGAAAAAAACATTAGTCATAATTCTTTTTTGGAAGTCGTACATTTTTTATATGATGAATATGCTCATTAATAATGATGTATACAAGAATTATACAGAATGCCAGGAATAAGAATGAAAAGATAATCCTATGCTCTTTCCTCTGTCAAATCCCAACGATAATATTAGTATTGTACACTTTTGTGTGTATGTGTGCGAAAGGAACAAACAATCTTACAAATAAAGTTGATTAGCTAGCTGCACAAACATTACCATTGTAGAGCAATGGTAATATTAAGAAAAAATGTTGAGATAAGTATACAAAAGAAAGACACAACACGATCATATCTAATTGAAAGAATGGTCGAAGACACCAGAATAAAGTTCAGCTATAATGTATTTGTATATGTATATTGAATATTAAAAGAGAAAATAATCCCTGAGTTGATGACGAGAAATTCTTTCTTCCAAGGATGATCATAATGCTGATGTTAACAATAATAATAACAATAATGATGAATAGTATTTGTGTAATTAGTGAAGGGACACTTCTTTTATCAAAGTATTACTCATTTATCATTATGCAGAAACTTCAAATAAATTCTTAACACCGGGTTTAACATTATATATATATATATATCATTTCACGATAAAGAGGACTTTTTGTCAAAAAGAATGATTTTTCTTAATACACTGTTAAATGAAAATATTGATTTCTGAAGTATACTGAATGTTTATAGTTAAGTGAATGAATTTGTGAATGTAGTAGTAAGAATAATAAAGATGCACTCAAAAATTAAGACATTAAATATGTATAATATAGTGAAAGTAGTAGTGCATTGTTATACACAACGGCTGTTGAATATGGATTGAGACATGTCAGCGAACCAATGGAACTTCTTCACGGTTCAAAAAGAAGTGGAAGTAGCCATTCATCTTCTTCAACCGGTCTGAAAATAGGATAATAATGAGAATAATATGGTAATATTGTTTCCTTTTTGGCAGGGAGATTGAAGGACAACAGAAAAGGTGAGAGTTGTACCCTTGAATCGTATGATAATTGAGTGATAAGGGAATATCATCCAACAGTTTTATAAAGTGAAGCTATAAAGGACACATTCATTGTGAAATCTGGTAATACTAATGGCTGGTCAAACTAAAGGTGGAATCTTCAACTAAGGTAGTTGATAGTCAAGTGATTCAAGCACTAAGCTAACTCGCTTATTAGTTGATTATTTCGAGAGGCCCCAAAATTATATAAGATTTATTTAACTATTATTTAAGTGAATAGTCAATAGAAATACACTTAATCCAAATAACAGGCTTTATATAAGAGAAAAAATAGATACTAAATGTGTGAAGTTCCAGATTGGATTGATTAGTAACTGTATATGGACCAAGTACTTTATTTTATTGCTCAGTAATTCAAAGTACAACATTGTTTACAGGCTAAAATATGTTAGAATAACTTAACTTTTATAAATCTAATACCTATTCAAACTTTAATGAACAAAACGAAGTAGAAAACTATGGAATGAAAAGTTTGGTAATTCATAAAGTTTTTATTGAAATAATGGACCGATCAATCTTGAACTACCATTGAAAACATAGAAGCACTGAACGGCCGTTTTGTCCTAGTATTGGACTCCTCATCAGTGCTCACACATGATCCCGTATGCGGGATTCGAGCGCTTAACCTCTGAACTACTGAGCCGGCGTCTAACTTCAACCAATCCCATGTTCATAATTCATAATGTGTTTGTAGAATGTAGCATAAAAAGTTTACAAATATGTGGATTTCTGAAAACTATTTGTCAAATCAATAATATGACATATTATTACAGGGTCAAATATAAAAAAATAAACCCATGTATTTTAGGACAGATGGATGTTTACCCAACAGCTGCATTAAAATCCTTTTGAAAAATAAGGTAGATGACTGATATGTTAAAAGTAAGACACCTGGTAACTCACTCATAGTCTTCAGAGATTGTATCCAATGGTGTAGGACTCGAATAACCAACACGAAACTGACGTCTAGTTACAAATAATCCAGTTCTTCTGCGACTAGATGGCGGAGGATCACGATAATATAATTCATACAGTTGACCCACAAGATTTGCACATTCACATACATCAAACCAATCGACCTAAAAGGCATTAAGAATTAACAAAATTACGAGCAGTTAACTAAGTAAATTGATCAATTCGATATAAAATGATTAAGATCACAATAACAAGTGATTTCGAGTATCACTCATTGGTTATCTATACTGTAGAATATTTCTTGAGGTATCTGAAAACGAAAGTGCATTAATCGTGGTTTTAGAGACCTACAAATGTGACTGCAGAGCCAAAGAGACAACTGACTGCTTAAATTTGATCACACACGGCCTTTTAAAGACGTCTTTCATGTGCTAGATCCGTGTTTTGAAGGACTTACCGTCAGTAATGGAAATCCTTGGGGTAAGATATGCTATTTTTAGGGCCGATCATTTTTAATCCGCTTCTTCCGTTGTGATAAAGTAGCATAGTTGCAGATGTTGACTGCCTGAGGGGAACATCTTACTACCATCACACTTTAGTACAGTCAGCAGTACGACTTCGCTCTTGGACCCTACTCTGTTGGTTTTAGTATTACCTGAATACATGAAGATTTAAATATTATTTATGGCAGATCTAAAGCCAGTATAAAAAGATAGCTTAGTTAAGATAACAAAATACTTAAGCATATCTCAACTTCTTTTTATGTGATTATCAACTAGAAAAATATAGTGAATGGAATCGTATGAAAAGGTGATGCTGATGATAATTAGCATGCATATCCAAGTTGCCAAACTTGACATGAGATCAACATGATGAAAAGCTAAGAGGTCAAAATATTGACCTCAATGGTAGTGCATAAAAAACACATAGAGACAATAATACCAATAAAATTCAGAAACTGTGAAAAGTAAGAGTAAGTTATCTAAACTGAAGTAGGAGGCAGGGTTCGAAACTGGGACCTAATGGCCGACGGTCATCTAAGACCAAATAAGAACAGCATGATAGACTGATCCGATGTCTTGATTTAGTCGGCTGTAAATCTTTTTGTTATTATATCCTATGCTAGCTAGGATGACACATTAATGTGGATGCAACGTAAATACTCTAAACCCATCAAGTCGATTAAAATTAGTAGCCTAACCAACTGATCCGGTATCTCTACTTATGACTCTACAACTGCACCTCATAAATTTTTTCGAACTATGATTACACCTGATAACACTGGTCTATCATGTTTCAATTACTTTTTCACGATCATATACAGTCAATGGTAATAATTAGTGAAATAAATTACGATGTACAAAAGATCATATATAGTTGTACGCAAGAGTAAATGATGTACAATATAACTCTATGTAAATTTTCGCTTAGTTATTTTATTTATAAGAGAAAAATAAATTTACCTCACATACTACGTGATACAAAATTGAGTTACATATGATACAATAACCGTTTACAACATCTAGTTTTAAAACTTGGATTTTAATGGGACATTGAAAAAAACAAACAGGTGCATCTATTTACACACTTTTAGTATATACATTCAGTTTCATTGAAAAGAATGTCCATTTATAAAAATTAGCATCAACAACCAATTGTGAGTTAGCATTTATCGTTAGCTGAACATCGGAAAACAGGCGCCCATTCAATCATTACCAAGTTCCTCTTTTTATTAATCTTGAATCAAGTTATAATATCAGAAATCAAAACATTTGCAACTGACACCTATTTATAATCTAAGTTGAGTATACGGGCAGTTAAGCTTGGTCAGTACATTTTCAGGTAGTAATGGATTACGTAATATATATGTATACGTTGGCTAGCGAAATTCGGCTCGAATAAAAACACATAAAGCTCGAAATATCAATACTGACATTAAGGTTAATAAACTGAGAAAACTCTTCAAACACTTTCTATAATTCCTACACACGGCATACTTTAAAAACAATCATGATATTGGGACCAATGTAAACAATTTAATGTCACTTCGAATAATTATGTTTCTAAAAGATAAAGAAAGTGGGAAAATATCAAATCACTGACCCCACATAGATCTGCCAACGGTAGAAGACCTTCAATACCGACTTGAGCTAAAATTCCAAGTGCTAAACAAACAGGACGGAAACGATAAACTTCCAACGAACACAATGCAATCTCCATGACTGTTCCCAAACGTTTATAAACAAGAGCTTTCCAACTGAAATCCTTCTGACGAGCTGTTACGAGATTCTTTCTCACCTCATCTGATTTCTGTACACTTGAGGTTATATTAATTGTCTCTGACACTTTTTCTACATCTGATTCACGTAAATAACTACTTATATTCATACCACCATTGATCAATTCGTCCTCCATGATATCTTTAGATTTAGTCACACAGTCGATGAAAAGTTGCAAGAAATCGAATGCATTTACTCCATCAAGATCGTGAGATAATTTAGAATCGAGGATTTCCTCCATACGCAACAAATCAGCAGCGTTACCACCACAACGAGTGATATGTACCATTGTTTCTGGATCAGGCAATATAACATTCTGGAAAAAATTTTGGAACGAAAACACAAATGACTAAATTATTTCTAAGTGCAGGTGAAAATGGTAGCCGTTAAAAATTTTGAATGAACTGAATGAACAGTAATGCCATATAGACATTCCAAAATTCAAGCTGGCATATATATATATATATATATATATACTAAGAAATACTGTACATGCTACCGAAATTGTATTACTAGTACATGTTACACTTAACCACTGACGTCATGGGTTGAAACCCCCTTCATTTCATAACAATAATTTAAACACCTACTATGTTACCATCAGGTACACGAAGTCGTCAGGTTGTACCAATTTTAGACTGTCAGTATTGAGAAAACTATCTAATATAATAAATATTTTAGCGGATTATTTAGTGATGAGTGCACTTGTGAATTTAGCGAAAATGTTTAAGTACCTACGAGCCGAAAACTTTGACTTTAACTCACGAGTTAATGAATTTAGTATAAAGATCATACTTCAATCATATAACGAACATTAACTTCGAATATCTATATATACACGAGTATATCAAATACATCGAAGTGTGACTAACACAAGTATTGAGTACCTAAATTACGATGGTGAAATTTTAGTTAAATGATCTAAGCAGTTCTTGAAAGTACCTTTTACATAAGAGAAAAAAACTGAGTATAGGTGAATGAATTTAATGAGAATAATATATCTTGTTTAACAGTTCAAAAAACTCCAGTTGCACGAAGTTACCGACTAGTGTTAAATTTAGAGATGATCAATTTAGCTCAGCAACCGACTAAATTTTCTTTATAAAGGTACGAGGAACACTATGTACGGCCGCTATTATAATATTAGATTATGGGTTCTGCCTTAATTCCTGAATCTTCTTAAATTTACAATGTTTTATACAAAATTGCAGTTAAAAGAACTGAAACTTATTATCATTATCAAACCCATGCTAATTTAAACAAATGAACTCGATTGTATTACTGTCATAATACAAAGCTATCCTCTTTCAATAAATACAGAAACGGGGTAGATTTTCAATTGTTTAGTTAATTATGTGGTGTTTATTGGTGGACTGATTAAGTTTAATAAATAAAACTACAATTTATTTAGTTACATTAGGTATTGTAAAGATAGCGAGCAAATAAAATAAACAACTAAATGAAAAATTGACAGTTGTAATTGACAAAAACTCGAATATACTCAAAAAGTGAGTAGAATATTAGTTGACAGACATACTAAACTGACCAGCTTGTTGGTGAATAATAGATCAACCTGCAGAACGCACATACGATGATATATTTCATAATTTATGTCAGTTGATTTAAGTAATAATAAGTTTTTTTTAAACATAAACCTAAAGTAGCAATTAAACTTAAATAAAATGGCGTGATTTTTCTAAAAGTTTAAGAAATGAGCTTATTTTCAATGTTGAGGAGAAATTGCTTTATAGGATTGATGAGAAAACTTTATATTGATATACATAAAACTTATCAGTAAAGATATATAGGGTAGAATTGCATGATAATGAAAACACTGATCACATTTCCAGCTTAATGGATGATCAAACACAACTTATGGACATATATTTTTCATATATAGGGACGTACAGCTTAAGTAAATGATTTCGTCGAAAAGATAATTACCTTCACGAAATGCTCTTTATTTTTATTCAATGACACAATGGGTTATTTTAATTATCCAAACAATTTATCAATCTGTTATTCAGATTAAATCACATAAAGTGAATTTAAACAAACTTGTGAAATGACGGTGATTTGAAGACATTATTATTATTTCATGATAAGCTAAAAGGTAGTCTTTAAAATGTACCAAATTCGTACATATGTCCTAATGACTGAATAAAAATAAGATGTATCAACTAATTTAATAAAATTAAGTAGCTAAACCACAAGCAATTCCCTGTGCTCATAAAAGTTTTTATGAGACGACTAGTATCACTAGTCGGATGCATGAATTGAGGTTGGCAGAGTTCAGTTCAAATTTACGAACTGATAGCTGAAAATCAAATGCTTTAAACATGAAAAACTAGATGGAAATAAGGCTGGTAATAGTATGAACATACCTTGTTATTTGAGCTACTCAATTTGCATACAGCACAGTAAGAAGCAGCAGCTACACATGCCATGTATTTAGGTTTGACCTGGAAAAAAAATATACTTGAAGGATGATCAATTCGGTTATATATATATATATATATATATATATATATCAGATTTATTCTGAATTGCTTCATTTGAACGATTTTAACATGAGTACTGAACAAAGCAAAATCTCTAGATTGTCGGTATACGTTGGGTATTATGATGTGTGAAATAACTTACGACGCATACTGTGTGCAATTCAGTTTAATCACCCATAAATTTAATTGCATGCGATTAGTTGAGTTAAACTTATTTGGAAAACAAACAGATAACAGTAAATCCAAATGAAAACAGTGTTAGTTAGTGAGGACCAAATATTAATTACGGAAGTAGAGCATCTGGTCAGTATCATCACTAGATAGTTACCTTTGACGTATTACCGGTCGTCCTCCCTCTCCGATCTATTACGGGAAAATACGAGTTTAGTGATACACATGAAATCCTATATCAGGTAATTTTACAAAGCCTGTGTAAAAACGGAGGAACCTGGTGGTTGAAATTTGTTAACAAGCTGAAAGCAATAGCCGCATCTGGTATCTCCAGGTAGTTATCTCCACTCAAACAAGACACTGGTAACAAGTTTTGTATTAGTGAAACAACCTGTGAGTTTGATGCTACGCCAATTAGCAACATCCAAAGGTGTGTCGGGAGATGGGTGTTTTTCGACGGACAGTTTGGGCATTCTGTCATTCAAAAGCATTGATCATACTGTCTTAAAAGCTCCCTGGTCAGTGACTACCTATCTACTTAACGAAGAGGCACCAAAAACATCCTTTGCTTACAGCAGTATGGTAATAATATACTTGGAACTAGATTGGACAACACTGTTGATTATTCGCAAGAATGGTTAACTAACAAATGCTTGATACTGCACAAACTACGCTCCAAAATGATTAATTGACTCACGAAAGTACACAACTATCCTCCAATTACTACTCGGTATGATCAAAGTATTGTACCATAATATGGAATAGAGGACCACATAAGTAAAGAATCATAAGTACATAAACAACTGTTTTAGAATCCAACTAAATCTCGCTAATTTAGTCGACACACTAATCATATGTTTTTTAGAGTAATATAAAGCTGAATGTCCAGAATATGAAGCGATTGAACATAACTACAAATGATCTGGTTTAACCACAAAGTACTATAAATTAACTGTAATGTTTATACAGAACTCTGATAAAACAGAAAGACTAGAGAGAGTTAATACATTTTATTAAATGCTTTATAAGTTGGATAAATACACTAGATACGCTAAATATCATTCCCGTTTAGGAACTAATATATCATCAATACAGTTAAGGTCTAGGAGGATCTGTTGTGCGCTTAACTGATAAGGCTGGTTTTTCTGAGCTTGCTACAAAAATCAAAAATCGACAAATAAATCTATATGTCTATTAGGTTTTCGTTTTAATCACTACACGAAATTAATGACTACAGTTAACAATGGAAGAAATCGATCAGATTGAAATGGGGATATGGTAATCGTGAATCGGAAACACAGATTAAATATTAAGCTCAACGCACTTTTTTTCCACGTACTACTAATTATAAATTTTCGTAGATTACAAAGCGTAAAGGAAAACAAAATACACTAACATAGTTTATGTTAAAGATAGAGAACAAGACCCTGTAGATGAAACAAACTTCCTGATACTAATGTAATATTATTTTATACTCCAATGAGTGCGAGTATAAATGTAGTTTCATAGCACTGCAATCACAGTTGATTCGTAACATTTCGAAGTGAACAAATTCAAACGTAAAATTAATAGAACTAATTTCAGCTCACCTTGACTTTAACGATAAAACGATCTATGAGATTGACAGCTTTACAAAATGTTTCTGTAGACAGATTAAAAAATGAATTGTGCAAAAAGCGCAGATTGTGTACCGCCTCATTTCGAAGTACGGCGTCGACTTTATCATCGACTTCCTATTGGTAAAATTTAAAAGAACATTAACGAAACATCAGTTGAGAACATTGAAAATAAAGTTTTCTATGAAATGGGAAGACTAAAGTAACTTTTCATAGGTAGTGAGGTAATGAAATAAGTTTGGTTAAGCTTTATTCGCAAAATGAAATGTTATATTTACATAGATCTTCATCGGTGTTATGAATTAGTATCTGGAGTAATGAGATTGTATGTCTTTGTGTTATAATTATGGACACAAATTCCCTTGACTGGTTCAGTACTTTTCATATATGCCCACAAATATTATTTTATAATAGGGCAGATCCTGATTAATATTCAATTGAAAGCAATATTCTTCGCTTATACCTGATGTTCTAAACCAGATAACATTAACTTACAGTTATGCTAAGAAAGATACAATGCTAGTGATTAATTTCTGCTTGGGAATGCATATAATACAAACACATAAGCAACTAGCTTCAGTATCACTTACTGGATTAACATAATACAGGAAGGCATTGTTTGGTTGGTAAATAAATTCCTTCGAGAGTAGATCTTGCAGGCGATCATTATCAAGTGAAGAGAGCTAAAAAAGAAAGCGATGGGTTTCATATAACAAAAAGACTACTTATAGGCTGGAATATTTACGTTAGTACTAATAATATAAAAGTTACTGCCAATGGATGCAACAGAACTGTGAATCCATGTTACTTAAGTAAGTCAACAATGAAAGTTGTGTATATTGACGCAACCTAGAGGAAGCCTCAAAAGACGTCTAAATATTATACAATTATTAACTGAACTTTCCTGACAGCAGAAGGTCAATAAATGGCTAGTATTGATATGATCGAACCAGTTCGGACTAATCATCCACCAATGGAGAAAACAACAATAAGGAATGTGAAGCTCAGTAGCCACATTACATCAGTAACAAACATAGATGGCAAGTAAACATGGGCTTGGTACTTTGGAGATTCAAACTCGATAAGAACGTATCAACACGGACAAAATAGTAATCCTGGACAGAATTTTAACGGATAACAGCTTGGTACAAGGGACAAACTTACAGATTTAAGCGACTTTATCTTGGTTATTCACAGATGTAAGAAACAAAGACCTTAATAACAAAATCACTAGTCATAATGCAGTAAAATAATATATGGACATCTCTTTAGGTGCGGCAAAATAGGTGAGATGAAAACGTTCAAATGTGTTATGATAAGGAAGTACAGGATGGCCTTTTATTTTCTTAACCCATATTCATTGGACTTGTCCTAGCACAACTACCTCAAATTAAAAACAAGTAAGCTTAAAATAAATTCGACTATGAGTATGCGAAGACCCCACAAGATGTAATACCTTGTTTGTGGTTTTGTAGTTATCTTTGAAGTATGAAAAACAACGTTCACAAGAAATCTTTATCAAAGTTTAGAGGGGGAAATGAGTAATTACATTGAACTTAAGCAAGGTAACTATGCTTACTTTACAGACTATATGTGAGTGACATATTTTGGATAAATCAGAGCGAAGATTATTTTTCGGTTGTAAAGGACGTAAATAACATGCCGCCGGAGTAGATATTGACATATCTTCTAAATTTTCGTTTGACTGACCGTTTAGCTCCGGGCGCGAACGTTTATAATCAGAAGTAATGTGCGAAGGATACTGGTTCATGAAAATCTTATGGGCAGGTTGCTTCGAATCAGCCGTATCACATAGAATATCGATAATATTGGACTTTTGAGAATCATTTCCAATGGACACAGAATTCGGGTCATATTTCTGAGCTCGGCGTATACGACTAGGATATCGCCTGTATTGCGAGATAGTACGTTTAGGTGCCCTGAGGAAGTTAAATCTGGATTTGGCAGTATAAAAAGATGCAACACAGCCATTATTATTGGAATGCGTTGTTTGAGAAGAAAATGACTGTTGGTGCTGATTAAAGACCTTGGCCATATTTCTTAATCGTAGTTGTATTCACAGAATCTGATCACTTGGTATATATGAGAAAATATATCAGCTGTAGCAACGGACAATAAATAAAAACAAGGTAATTTTGAGTTTTGTAAAATAAATTTGCTGTGTAACAAAGAAGTATCACCACGAACAAATGAGAGGTGACCTAGGAGCTCGCTGATCGGAATTTAGAGGAGCTACGATGTCCAACTTGTGCCACAGTGGGTTAGGCTCTCAAAGACGAACGTCCTTTATCGCTAATGAATAAGTAGTAGTTTCAACCAATAAAAACAAAGGTCATTAGTAACGACAATTTGACCAAACAGATATTCGATTACAAAAATCGATGATGTTGGTTTAGCCAATCACAAGGTAGTAAATTTATCTTTGACCTTGGATCAGATTGATAAACCAACAGACACGTTTAACCATTGCCCTAGATAAAGAGTAGTGAGATGTGTGTTTATTGGTTATGAGGGTTAGGTCGACCTTTGTTTTTCTTTCTAGGCTTTTTAATTTTAGTCATCATTACAAGAGCGATTCATACAATTGTCTGTCCCGCAATTAAATATCCAAATTAATAATTTGAAAAATGGCCAGGTTAAGGGCAAAGTGCATCATTTTTAAGTTAAAGCATTTGAATTTAGGATTGTCCAACGAAGTAGTGCTTCCAGGTTTTCAATGGTGGTCTAACAATCATCGATTCATGATCTCAATCAAAACTTAGTAATCTCCACAACCCCACACTGAAAAGAAAATAAAATTGTTCATGTTGTTATCACTCATATAGAATGTTAACTTGAATCATATCATATGTTAATTGAAAATTTTAGATCCATGAGCAGAATAAATTTGATTAAATGTTAAGTGGATGACTATATTAAGTTAAAAGTTAGTAAGACATAATAAAGTGAGATGAATGAGAAGTAAATGGATCATCGGGGAGATTAATAATGATTTTTAACCAGTAATAATCCAAAGATTTGTGAATAAGGATAACAGAGACAATTACTCCTCGGCAGTGCTGAGAAATCCCATGCAAGCACGAAACTGCTGTCCAGTGCTTCCAGGTTTTCAATGGTAGTCTAGCCTACATCAACTCGTGAATTCAATTATTAAAATTACTACAATTTCCGCAAACCTCATTCTGATGATGACAATTACATTTGACAAAGTACAATAGTCAAATTAGGTCATTCAATAGCTAAGATTACTATTGATTAACTGGCCTTGAGGTTGGACAGGAGAGGAGAAATGGTTGACGATATTTCTTTTGTGCCCATAGCTCCAGTTTGCTAATCCGAATGGCCATTGCTTCAGCCATCTGAAGTCTGACAAGTTTTGGCAAAAAATTACTGACCCAATAAATACATGAAAACGATTCACACTATGACCAGTTTTCACTAAATGGGTCAATATCGAGCTGTTCACTTTCTTCATCAGACCTTTGCTTAATCACATTGGGAGGTGTTTGAGGCACAAAAATGTGAATTCCTAGTACTTCGACCAATATAACTTGCTCCACACGAGCAGTCGAACTGATAAAACACAATTAACATATAAGCTGATTCAAGTTAACATTCTATGAGTCATGTCAACATTAACAGTTTTATTCTATTTCGTTTGACAATCCTAAATTCATATGCTTTAACTTGAAAATGATGCATTTCGACCTCAACCTGGCCATTTTTCAGATTATTAATTTGGATATATAAATGTAAAACCTGAAGAGAATTTATCGAAAAGAATATTCTTCATTCAAACATTAGTATTTAAATATGATGGGGATCTTTAAACAATTGTCTGTCCATTTACTGAGTTCGTGATCATGACAGACAGAGAAACCAATCCGTAACCCGTTGTGTAATATATATTCCGTTATCTATGTCGGGAGATGTGGGACAGAGATAATCACCTTAAAAATAAATGTAATGATACTGACTCGCATGGGGTTTTTACGATCCATATTGCGCATTGATGAACAACGGTGGAAGGCTTATTTAAGACTGTTTATTATTATTATTACTGTAAGACTAAAAAATGTTGAGTGATTCAGATGATTTCAACCATTGATGGCTATAAAATCTTGGTATCTTAAATCCAGCCATTATACAGATATTTAACACATATTATCTGCAGAATTTATTCTAGATGAAGTATTAGTGTAAGGTTTGAATGGGTCCTGATTTTATGAACTCTACATATCATCTTACAAAATAAGAGCCATGTACATTAATTTTAATGTGAACGACCATTTTTCCACGTCTGTATAAAATGTTGGGATCAGTAAAGGATACTGCTCAGTTAAATGATTGTTATAACTAGTCTCTTAAAGCTTCTATGGGGGATTGCAATATTAATGATATCAAATTGATAATATATATGGGAAAATTGCCATAAATTTCAGTGTCAATGTTAGATGAATGTTATTAGTTTGTCGAGAGATTTGATTTTTCTGCAATTAATTTCCTCTTGAAAAGAAAGGACTATCAACTCAAATCACAACTAGTCTTCCTCAAACGAGAACTGGATATTACAAACTCACTTTTTATTAACACAATTCAATATTTGAATCATTGACAGGCTGCGTTTGTCATTCAGTCGGTGAAAAGCATTCCATGAGATATGATAAATATAATCAAATTCACTAAGTATTCGTAATTTCCTGAACGTAAATTACCTTTTCTATATTAGAAAACTCGAAAACAAATCAGTGATAGCATTACACTCAATAGGATTGGGTCATTCAATTGATTTCATTGACACAAGAATGCTTCAAAAAGGCTTTAACTCTTACGAAGAAAGACTAACAGCTGAAGCCTTACACATATGGGCAAATCCAAATAGTATTAATAGGGGAGATAGAATACAATTAGTTGTCCCATGGTAACTAATGATTAGTAAGCAAACATGAACTCCTTATTACATTTTATCTATCTCTTATTATCTTAATAAGAGCAATTACATTCAAAGATTCTAATCAGTTGTTATCTGAATATATTAAACAGTTAACTGGAACAATAAAAAACAAAATACAAACATTCAATCACAAATACATTCTTCTTTGAATCCACTCTTTTATTTTGTTTATTTATCTTCATTTTATGCATGCTGTGACATATTTGATCCATATCATATATAAAAATTGTATGTTTTCTTAAAAATTATCACTATGGGGTTGTGGAAATTGTTTAGATTTTGATTGACATCATGAAACGACTGGTGTTCGACCACCATTGAAAACCTGGAGGCACTGGTCATCCGTTTCGTCTTAGTATGGGACTCCCCAGCAGTGAGCATCCACGACCTAGCTCGCAGGATTCGAACCCAGAACCTTCGGTCTCGCGTGCGAACGCCTAACCTCAATGGTGGTCTAACATCAATCGTTTCGTCATCTTAATCGGAAATTCTTAAGAATTCACCGAACAATATATAGTGAATGAAATTTCTTCTCACACCACCTACTTGTACACACAATCTATTATCTTAACACTTTTCGTTTCATACCACATGTCTCTTATACACTAGAGCAAACACCTACTTTAAACATTGTTAACGTTGACTGGATGACCTGTTTAGTATACAGTTAGCCAGAGAACCTTATACCTATTTACACTCGATAATTTTGATGTTTGGTTATATTTCCTTAAAAAGCTTGGACCAGATTGTCAGGTGAAACGTTGGATTTACTTGAAATTCATTCGCTGAGATTTTACAAATACATTCTTCCTCTTTAAATATAATCATCGCTTTCATATCTCATGAAAATGTTGGTTTACTGATGATCACTGTTCTGTATTGAACAATTTTCGTGTTTACAGCATTGTGACTGATTCTCAATAAGTTACCCAGTATCCAACCACTAATTACAATATTCACGCGGACTCCGACCAGGTGGTCTGTATTAACCAACAGAAATCTATTCTATAGTCGAAAAATTCACGGGCTGATATCGCATCTTGGTTTGGTCGACCTTAGCTATCATTCAAACTACTCCTATACCAGTCAGGTATGTGGCAGTTTGGAATACTTAACACATATCCCAACGACTTCAGTTGACCAGGAATCACTGCGTTTGCTAACAGAGTTGTTTTCAGTACATATGAGCCTGTGTTTAACCTCAATATTACTGGATCTGTGGTCCCGATAAGGATGGAGAATGCTTCGGAATCATCTATGGTCAAAAAGTAAAAACTTAAGAATATTATCTATCAATAAAGACTAAATTTCAGTATTATTACTATTATTATTATTATTATTATTATTATTATTATTATTATTATTATTATTATTATTATTATCAATGTATCCTCCATCAGGTAGACAAGTTTTCATGAATTTTATTAAAGTAACTTCAAGTTATATACCATTTTATCACTTGGATACAGCTCAATAAAAAGACTTTACGGTTAGTGTAGTATGTTTACAATTAACTTAAATGATTTTAGACAAATTGGGTTACTGAACAATTAATTGTATCTTTATAATGGTCTGATTATATTCCAATTGATTACTTGACAAATAATTTGAAAATGTCAACCTACACTTCAGAAGTTAGTAATACGTTCCACATAATTGTACAACTTTAACAATTCTGAATAAATTAAACCATCAAATAGGTTGGATGAGTTCAAAAATGTTTATTTTATTAATCTAATTCTGTCTTTTTGTGAGAATATGCATGAAATGCAATTCTTATCCTTTACACTTTTCACATAATATAGTATACACACAAACGCAGAATTTCTTAGATAACTAACTTTTGGATATTTTTTAATGACCTTAAATACAGAATAACAACTAACTTTGTACTTCTGAAAATCAATATTTGAATTGATAGAATACTGTTAATATTCAAACTTACATTACAACTATATTGGTTTATACGCATAGTTTGTTGTCATTCTACATAAGTACCTTGTATGGAAGTATGATAATGTTAAATATACTAGAATTAGTCATCGATCTCGACAAAGTCACATTCTTTCGGTATCGAAGTAATTTTAAAATGTTTCACAAACGGGTTTAAGTAGTAAGCCATAATATCATTAACAGTTTGTTTAGGTCTCCATTTTAAACTACTAAGAAAGTGTTTTCATCAACATTGGATAATGGAATCCAGGACTCATGTCTCATCCCATCTCAGACACTTTATATGGGTTCGCATTTGCAGCACACTGTGATACAATCACTTACAGATTAACAGGAAGACATTCTAGTTTTATCCCCTGAAAATGAGTCGTTTATTAGAACATATT